AGATCGTTTATAGGTTCATACTCAAGAATTCAACTATATGTAAGTAACCTTATTATATTGAAATGAATAGAGGATATGGCAACTTTCAAATGTCTCCAGGACATTTCTCATACAAATCATCTAGAGTCATGTTTTGGCTTAGTGTTGACCAGATATTTGAAACCGTCAGGTGAATATTTACCATGCGTGTGAATTGCGGATAGTTAGTGCAGTTTCTAATACTCGATGAAAGTTTGTTCCATATTAACGCACATTTCGCGGAGAAAAATTTGAACAAAGCTTGGTGCGAGACTTTTGTATTTGCAATGCGCGCTCGCCGTTTCTCCAGTCTGAAACTCGAGTTGTGACTGTGCAGTGCAGCGTAATCCAAATAGTATGAGGTATATAAGGCACAGATTAAGTTTGAGTCTGCACAGCCATAGCGGCTCTAGTTTTAGGGTCTCGCAACCCTCACGGTATGTCATAGCGTTAGCCATGTTCAAAACTTTGTGAATCAGCATTGAATGTTTGCTAGCGCTATGATGTGCACTTTTCTCATATTACCATGCACTATCGCATAGTACTTCACCTTCGGCCTAACACATAGTTTCAAGGCGTGAAGCCTGGAGTTCCTCAAGATAAGAGTTTGACTTGTGCAGGCGATCACTTTCCTGGTAGATGCCTGCCAGAATAGAACATGTTCCAAAAAGTTAAATGAGGCAGAATATCTTAGACCATGGTCTCGGAATGAATCACACACAGGAATAGGGGCGTCGTTTAAGGTTAGGATGTTCGGGGATGGGCCACAGCCTTGGTACAATAGATTACACTTGTCGGTGGCAAAATGCAACTTCCAGGAGTTACTCCAGTGCTCCAATACGGTCGAGGCAGACTGCATACAGGTTAAATTAGGACTACGTTTCCCAGGGGCGGAAGAATACAGAAAGTTAGCATCATCAGTGAAGAGGAATAGCTTCCCGTACAAGCTTTAATCAAGGAGAGCGCTGATGGAATAAGAATAAAAGGCGGCCTAGCAAACTACCTTCAATCCCTCCACTAGAGATTGAGCTGGATTTAGATGTAAACTTACCAAATTTGACTACTAGTTTTCTACCCTCGAGGTAGGAATACAAGCACTCTAGAAGCGAATTTGTGATACCCCAGGACATAAGTTTCTGCAACAGTTAGCTGTATGGGACACGGTCGAAAGCCTTTTGGATATCAAGAAATATTACAACAATGGCATTTCCGGCGTCTCTTGCTCTAGTAACATAATCAAGGTAATCTAACTGACAGGTAGTGCATGATCTACCTTTCAAAAAGCCGCGCTGATGTTTATTGATAAGGCTCGTAGAGCTCAAATATTCCATCATGCGTTCTGTAACTAAGCTCTCCATGATTCTGGAAATAATAAACAAATGGTATATTTCTCGACCATGCGAGACAGACTGACAACGTGGACTAACTATTCTGTACAGCATCATCGAATAAAGGAGAAAGTTGTCCAAGAATTTCAATGATCCCAATGGAGGGTTAAAGGGGTTCCATCATTTAAAAGTTTTAAAAGAGGATGAATTTGAAACCGAGAAGAAGTGTATGTATAGACAGCAGTTTAAGTAAAATAATACGGCCATCCATGAAACTGGCTCATGGAAATCAGGTTCCATGCGGTATAATCTCTCGAAATATTTCATTGGGTGACCAATGCCAACAGTATTCAACTCTCTGCACTCATCTGTCATGCCATCCGCTGCTTTTCGGTAGGACAATCAAAAATACTGAGCATTAATTTAGGGTCACTGATGTCCCTCGAGTGTAATTTAATCATTTTCAGATATCTACGCAGCAAAGTGCTTTTCTCACGGAGAACTTTAAAAATTATTAGGGTTACATTTGACCTAGAAATAGCATAGTCGACGCAATTCTGAATCCGGAACAAGAACGTGAAAAATTTTGGTGAAGTGCAGAACAATGTGATACTTTCATAGATTAAACCATTGATCCCAGACGCATCCATTCTCGCGTGTTTTGATCCATTGCTTCTACTCGAGATCCTATTCGACCTCCGAGCCGTACTAACGCAGGGCGCAAAGCTCATTGATTTCCGCAGCGTGAGACGGAAGCATGCCGAACATTGCTAAACCTAAATCGAAAAGCAGGTGCTTGGAAGAGACCAATTCTTGGATTTGCCTGGTACGAGGTTTCGAGACCAAACTACATCCAACCCTGCACTTATGTTTTCACCTCTATTTTTGTCGAAAAGTTGGCAACGAAATTGCCAGATTCGGGAAAAACAACTGCGTGACTACATCGGCAACCAGAGCCACCAGTATTCCAAACCATTTTGAATAAATAGCTACATAATCACTATCGACTAGCCATCAGTGTCTAATCATTAGAGAGAGGTCTGTGGATTAACTAGGGTTTAGTAGTAAAGTTTAATACTTAATATATGAACATAAGCTTACGAATCAGCGCAGCTAGATGGCGCCTAATCAGCTTGCTCGTCGATTGTTCATCTTTTGTGTCAGTCGGTCGTTCGCGGGGTCGATTTAGTAAGCTGAGTGCACATTAAGGTAAGAGCACTAGTCAGCCGACCAGGTAAAGTAGCTAACGAATGCTAAAAAGTTAAAAGGGACCAAATAGGCGATAACTGGTTAAGACTTAGCAATGCTGAGTGGCGGTTGGAAGTTGTCTTCCAGGAAGGATTTGGAAGGGGTGGTTGAGACAAATGATAAGCCACTGATATCAGTTCACTTTTGGTCGGAGATCACACATCAAAGCAAGGAACCGAATGAATTTGAAGCCCGAATTACGATGTGCATTAGCCGAATTCACACCAAATATACCAGAATTTGTTAGAAATAAGCAATATCATAAGTCTCGTTAACGTACATCACCATACGATTATTTAAAAAGCGCTCAAATTGGGTGTTTTCTTCATTTTAATATTTGGAGTGAATGAAAAAGTAGTTTTTATTTTCCCCAAGTTGAAACTAAACATGCAATAGTAATAAGGCATTAGCATTTTAAATAATTTTTTAGGCGTAATTGTTTTTAATTAACCCACTTTGTGGGTAACGACCACAAAATGGTTGCGAACCGCTATGCTAGACAGACCTTTGTTAAACAAACTGTAGGCTTTCTAAAGCTTTCCCTTCCTTCATCCTCATACTGCTGCAACTGATGCCGCAGTTTCGACAAACAGTACGTAAGAGGATTTTATGAATTGCATGGAATATCCTTGCCACAAATGGCCTGACAAGTGAGAGTTAATAATCGGCCTACTCATTGAAGTTAAAAGTAGTATGACGCTTGGCTCCGAACTAACAACTACATTAACATTGTTAGCATGAAAAGTACATTGGCGTTAAAGTCTATACTTGAAATATACTTCAGTCAGTACTGGGGCACTGCAGCATTCAGATGGTTTATCGGAATAGAGGTATTCTATGGTCCGAAGATGGTTAGGCACTAAACTTGGCCGGGTGGCAGCTTCGTGGGAAACTGGCCACTGTAGGCGGATGAAAACGCTTAACTAGGTCCAAGGGATATATTGCTGACAAGTTTGGAGTACTGAACGCACCTACGGCGTTGGCCAAATTATTATAAATTCACTTGTCATGGTTACAATGCCAGTTTTTCTTACTATTCTCAATGTCATGGTGACCAATGACAAAACTAGTTGACAATAATGTAAATAATTAGTTGTAATATACAATATGTCTTGATTTTTGATTTTCTCAAGCGGATTGCATATTTCATTAAAGCAGTAAAAAGACATATGTTGCGATATGTTAACATTTCGATTGCTCTCGTCAGTCGCTACGCAATACAGGCAAGACAAAACACGCAATATATAGGGTCCACACTTAGTAACAAAGATGATGAGAAAGATAAGAATGATAAGAATGACGTAATCAGGTCCAAGGCAATCCAATTGATTGCCTCAATTGTTTCTGGGCACAGAGCACGGGACAATTCAACCTTATCAGTAGCGCCTCGCCAATTGCCAACAACCTCATGTTCCTGTTGCGCAATAACACCTTGAATGAATCGATTGAGTTCACCTGGTGACGAGTGGTCATGAGGTGTTTAGTGAAAGACGAGGCAGGGTTCCTGTTCATTCTTTGGTCCGCTCCGCCTTGGTTAAACAGCAACTGCCTTAGCCACATTGGGAAATGTTCTGCCATCCTTTGAGTCAGCCGGCGACCAGTCTTGCCTATGTAAGTGTCACCGCAACTACAAGTGAACTGATAAATGATGTTAGAGGCCGAACTGATTGGCGAGCTACTCGGACGGTTCTGGAGAGGAATCCTTCGTGTAGTGTGGATAAATCGTAGTTGTGCGGTAGAGTAGGTGCGAGTTAGAGCGGACCTGAGCTTGTGACCAACTTCATTTGCCACGTGATCCCCCTTGAACGGTAAGAATAAATAAATATCCTTCTTCTCCGCTGTTTGTACTGACAGTTTCTCCTTCGGGGGTCTGCTATGAATCTGAATGAATTTTTCCGGATACCCATTGGCTAGCAAAGTCCGGTATAAAAAGCTCTTCTTCAGCCTTGAGCAATTCCGGACTGTAAATCCGCCTGGCTCTGCCTTGGACCTGATTACGTCATTCTTATCATTCTTATCTTTCTCATCATCTTTGTTACTAAGTGTGGACCCTATATATTGCGTGTTTTGTCTTGCTTGTATTGCGTAGCGACTGACGAGAGCAATCGAAATGTTAACATATCGCAACATATGTCTTCTTACTGCCTTAATGAAGTGGTTGAAGGGGACTCAGTGTTTCAAGTTTCTTAAAAGAGGATTACATATTGTTTGATAGTACATGTAGAGTAGTTATTTAAACCAACGGTTACATTTTTATATTACTTCGTTATTTCCTACTGAAGTTCCCATTTCTAAATTACAGATGTCTCCTTTTTGATGAATTTATAAATTATTTTCATTAGTTTATATTTGTATTTGTAAAGGTTCTTCTTAACTAGTGACACAACCTTATGGAGCAACAGCGGCCAGATTGGATTGACATATTAATGGGTAAATTCCGTGACGAAATCGCACGTACGCGTGCAAAAATTGAAATTTGTTGAAAGTTGTTACAGGATCAAAACTTGCTACCAAGCATGGGGTTAGCCAGGCGTCTGTATGTCAAATTCGAAAGAAAATGCAAAGACTATTTATCACTGTCCCCTGAAGAATCTGGTAAGTGTGGTTGCAGAACAGCTCTAGACGACTCGCTTGTGCTTACGGAATGTCAAAAGAATCGCAAAGCATCTAGCAAGCAGCTGCAACGGATGATAGAACAGCATGGTGTTGCAGTAAGTTTAAGAACTGTAAGAAGACCCTTTTTGGATTCTGGATTTTGAGCTTGCATACCTCTAAAGAATTAAACGTTGACCAAACAAATGTAACTAATGGGTCAAACAGCTTGAAAAATGGTCAAAAGAAGACTGGGAGTGGATAAGATGCAAACAAACTTTATTTTTCTAAGGATTTTCAAGAAAATTTTGCCGAGATTGCTTGGGTAATTCCATAAGAATTTCTGTGATTTATTTGAAGTTATTTTCAGCAATGAGTAACATCCGGTGCTTTGACTGTCAAGCTCAATGTGTCCGGTGATCACCTGGAGAGCAAGTGAGGGAAAACCGTATCTTTTAACTAGTCAAGCCTCCCACTCAAGTGGAGGGTTTTGAGCATATACGGAACTGGTCGGCTGTACAACGTTTATGGCAACATGGACCAACAGCAATGCAAAACACTACTAGAGCACCATCTGATCCCTCAGCCGTGAGGAGGAGCGGAGGGAAAAGCATTTACAAGGACAAGAGACTTTATTTTGCATGCATGAAAGTGTTCCATGTCACAGAGGCCGTGCAGTTACCCAATTTTGTAGGTTGTTTGATTGCAGTGTTACCATAGCCTGGTAACAGGCCATGGATGAATGAAAAATAATTACACAGGTAACAGGTCATTGATAAATTACAGAGACATGCGCATGCAATGAGAGCACTACTAAACATGACAAAAACGCATTAACTCCATTCCTTTGCGTGTTGACTCATTAAAAACTGCCAAATGATAGTTTCCTAAGGAATATATTTACAATGCAAAACATAAGGGTTACAGTAAACCAATTCTCTTTTTACAAGCAATGTGGAGAAATATGAACCATGAATACAATAAATTGATAATAATTTAGCCAACAATGTATGTGGACAACCTCAATAGCCGTTGAACTTGGAGAATGACAAAGGTCACTTAGTGCAATAACCAGAAAACAACCACCAATTTAGGTTAATTTCCAACCTACTATTGCGTCCGATACTTTCAAAATGACTCCATCTTGCATCGTAGTCACATACTCAAGAATTGGTTGGACCTCTTTCGTATGTCTAAACAATGAAACTGCAACTGCACATGCTGTACAGGATCCGTCACGGCTATTATTTATAAAGATAGATTTATTTACCCCGAGAGAGAGATAATGTATAGTATCTACATATCAGCTATAAAGATCTGTCAATCTAGAAACCCTAGGAGTGTGGGGATTGGGTCCGTACTTTGCACTGGATCATCAGGCTACTTTTAACATAAAACAAGGGGACAGGAAACCTGCCACGACAAGCTCAGGAAGAAAAAATGATGATTTAGCTGATTGGCTGCGTGAGTTGTTTCATCAAACTACATGCGAGTAAGTTGATCTCCGTTTGTGTTGGTGACATTAGAACTAGCACTGTGCGCTATTTGTCACATCAGAGATGGTGTTAAGGGATTCACTGATTCACTGATTCATTCCGAACAAACTAGTTGTATCGGATGAGTGTTCAATATTCTATTGGAATCTGAGCAACTCAACGTATTTAGGTCGACCTAATAGTGATGAAACGGAAATGCCTGGCTTCACCGGATGTATTCCAAATACCTAAATTACTGAGGGCGTTCGTTACGCTTTGTATGAAATAGAGGACACAACAAACACTGTGAGTACTCGCATCTCATACGAGCATTACTGTGCAATGTGTAACCTACGAAGCACCAAGTCGGGGTAGGTCTCCACGTCACAATCACCAATCCATAGGAGGTGATAGGCCAAACACTGAAACCTGCATAGTCGTGCCCGTATGCACTCAGTTTAACTAGCTTCGGGAACGCATATTCAGCCCTGTCATGATGCGGGTGGTTACTTGAGCCTTGTGTGTGGACAGTATGGCAAGGAAACCTTAGAACAGCAGTCATACCGACCGCAGAAAGCTGTGTTTGTTTCCGTGTTAATGACCTCTTCCGTTAGTGTGGTGCATTGGAACACTATTGCTATGATTTAAAACCGGAAGCAAACCGCACACCCACGCGTTTTCATTGATGGAATCTTCATCCTAACACGTCTTCATTGGAACGGAGGCAACAGATAATGGTCATTAAACATTCCAGAAAGCTAACTGTCAAGAAAAGGAAAACACGCGGAAAGTTTATAGGCTAATTCGAAAACTTGCACAACCATTCCTCTTTTCCAAAATGGTAAATATTTCAACACTGGCAGTCAAACAGAGCACATTTTGCGGGATTTACTCGTTTAGTTTATACTTGTGCCAGTTTCCGTTCCACCCAAATTGAGACACATATTTCATCGTGAAAAGCGATGTGGATGCATCCACAAAATTACCCTCGAAGAGTATAAATAGGTTTAGCGAATTTAGCGCCTAGTTGTGATGATATGGAGGTACATTTAACGGGCAGCCGCAAGCTTGTACTTTTATGAGACCTCAGTAAAATTGCTGTCGTTGGGAATGCTGCTGACAAGTCTAGACAACAGGCGAACTCACGGCAGTCATCGGAATCGTAGTTAAGTCCATCTCCCATCAGAAGAGAAACAGCAGACTTCGCTTAAATGCCATGGTTGTGGGCACAGCGACCTTGTGTGCTCCGGTTAGTAAGATCAGAAATCGGGTAATCTCCTCAACAAAAGCACAACCGCCCTTTATTCACAGTCATAAAATCACGAGGTGCGTACTATTTGCTAGGTCACATTTCACATCTCCATTGACCAGAGGCTCCATCAGCTGTTTGCAAGAATTGTGAATCAATTTGTAACCAAGCATGGTGCGATGCTGAACAAGTGAGACTGCGGTCGTGTGTCATGGTTGTCAGACCGCTGCCAGCTGTAATAGAATAATCTATTATGCGACTTAATAATTATGGTTAATTCGGTACAAGGATCTGGGTACAGTATTGCCTGACCAGCCGATTACGCTCAGCGATTTTCGGTAGACAAATCAATGGTCTGAAATCACTTGGACTCATATTTTTGCAGCTTCCGTTAATCTGTAGTGGTCACTGTGCAACGCATCCAGTTTCCAGAAGATGCGACTTTATCGTCATAATAGTTGTATCAAAACACGCACAGGCAGCACTCTGGAATGGGATTAAGACCGGTAAATGGACGACCACAAATAGCTACCAGTGCAGGCCGACGGCACATACAAAATGAGAATAAACTGCAGGTTGCAATCCCAGGGAAACAGTCTACTGTGAAGTACGTTACCAAGATGGGGAAAGGTTTTGTTTGCGATCGCTGTTTCTTTATCTACGACTGCTTGAAGCTGTGAAATTTGTTCAGCTGACTGCAGTAAAACTTTGTAAAGATGCATCTAAATGTAGGAATTAGATAAGAGACACTTTAATCTCTGTGCTCCGCACTTCAAGCATCATCTTTGCTTGCCGTATTGACGTGCAATTCGGTTTACTGCACCTGCAATCAGCAATAAAGGGGGCAGTTGAGTACGATATTGGTGGACTATTGTACAAGTTACGCTTGCAACGCCGTGATGCACAGTAATCCGGCTAGCCTTTTTGCCTTTTACTATATCACCTGCACTTTTGAGGATTATGAACACTCTACAACATTAAGATGATACCTTAGTCTACGGAACAATGTCTAAGTTTTATGTGAGCAAAAGCGCAGAAGGGAGGTGGGAGCTTGACGGAACTCAACCTGTGCTGATTAACAATTCAGTTCGGGAGCACAGGGTTTATTTAGTGTTGAACTGACTCTCGTTAGGTACATGGAAATTTGACTGAAGTGATTATTTTGAACTGCAAAGATAATGGAAGTCATGAATGGTAAAGTTCGTCGCTCAATCTCTCGGCAAAGTATCATGATGGAAAGCAGTATTTTTACACTGCTAAAAGCCCAGTGTGTCGCTAGTAGGAGGTATCCTTGCATCTGAACAAAGTGGGTATGGTAAACGTTTCATATTTGGACGAAGATTTGTTCACATAATAGCTTTTATACATGAGAATGCATGACCTATCAGCAAGGAATTTGGATGACTATCGCGTAAACTACATAAGCAGCTTGAATTTAACCGGGAATTCCGTCTTCGCTACCGAGCACTCACAAACAGAGCATCTTTACTTGGAGCAAATGTTCGTTTTGACAGTCGTCGACCAAGTAGGTCATCCTCTAATGTGAAATGGATTTGGTTCCTAGATAGCTACAAATAATTAGCAGGCAATCTCAAAAGGGGAACTCGTTTCAGTTGTTGCGATATTGGAGATATAAGCTGATAAGGATCAGGTACAGTAATTCCCAGAGGAGATGCTGAAGCCATGTGTCTACTAAATCAATCTCAACATATAATCTGAATATTCACCAATTATTCAACAGATTGAGAAGTTAAAAATTACTTGCGAAGAACATTTCCTTCGATAATTCACTTCAGGCACCTACAATTAGAAAACATAAACATTAGCTGAATAGTTTAGTGACAGCGGAAGCAGAACATTAGGCAGCTAAGTAAGTAAAAAAGTGCAGTATCTAGAAGAATATTCGTCAGCCATTGGTAACATACTCAAAAGTTAGCTGATGTCATAAGCGAGATGAGAGGCACAATTCTCATCTGGTTGGTCTTAAACCCGAAGCTTCACGGGTGTGATGTGGTGATGGCAACCCAATTGTCCACGGGGTACAGGCTGAGTGGTTACTAAGACCTATGCGCTTTCGACGGGCGTAACAGTGACGTAACGACACACATCCGGCTACTAATCTAATGTTTCAAGTGTACATTTGTGTGAAGGTTTGAAGGTTGCAACCCTCCATGCGAAAGAATAAACATATTCGATATTCTTCTTGAAAATAATCCAGAAAAAGATTTCAGAGACGCTTAAAAATGCTGGTTTAATACACACTGGGTGTTGTCGGCCCGAAAACACTGTACTGCACGACCGGTTTTGAGCTTATTTAATTTCATCAGGTAATGATAACAGGCCTCAAACCTTTGACCACTAGAATGTTACTTGGTACCTCTACCACTTTAGCCAT